ATCATCCGATCCCGGCTCTCTTTTTTTTCTACCTTTAAAGAGCGGAATGACAAACTGCCAGAGCCCAGGAACGGCCTCTTTTGGAGAGATAATGGGAAAATGTCACATCGCGTGAGGCTCAAGGTGTGCGCGTGCCTGGGGTCTGCAAGGCGCACGTGATCCTCGTTGAGCACGGGGCCTGGAGATAGAGTAACTGCCGTTAATTTATGACGCGGCGGTGCCCTTTGCTTCCTGTTTCTGCCATCTGTTGTCCTTCAGCAGTGAATTTAATGAACTTGAGTCTTTTATATATATATATTTCTCTCTTAGAAGGAAACTTGTCATCTAGGGGGCCTCTAAATTATTAACATTCACCCTTCCAGCGCTGACTGTGCGCCTTGCGCGACGATACAAATGTTGCCTTTTAAAGGCTTTTGACAGATTCTCATAACGAAGGCCAAGATAAAGAAAAATCAATCCACGAAGTCCGTTCACATTTCACGTTGGTATTGATGACACATTAATAACAATTGGCATGCATTCTTCCAGCCATTTGCAAAGTCCCGTGCGTTTCCCTTGCCGGTTAAATATAGGGGTGCGCAATCTGATGTGCGCTTTATTTATTATATAACAAGATGCAGCATATGAGTAGTGAGTTTCCACGTCGGAAGGGGAAGCGTGCCATGGGCGTTGATTCAGACGCGTTCCCAGGCATTCGTAGCGTCAGATGCCAAGACGCAGTTGGTGATCGCCCATATGCTTCAGTCCGTAACATTGATCGCTGCGGCCGAGGGTACGACATTTAACTTCGCCCGGCGACAGAGCAATCTTTCCACCCGTCCCTAGCGAGCACAGGGCGTCCTCGGGATGCGTTTGACATTTTTCTGACGAAAAATAAGAGCCAGACGTGCCAGCTGTGGGCAGGCCGCCGGTCCGTGCCTATTGTCCACGAAATAATTTTTTTTAAAACAAAAATGTGGTAAAAAAAACAAATAGATGATATAGCTTTGTTTTTGTACTATTATCATCAGCTCAGTTTGTTTTCTTTACAACTTGTTTTGTTTTAATTGGTTCAAATTTACACTGCGTCTCATTTGTGATATTTAAATGTCACAAATGGCGATGTTTGCAGTTAATTTTTTTTGAATGATTTTGACACGTAATGGGTGGAACAGTGGTTGGTGCACCGTGCTATAAACCCGGTAAAAGGTGAGTTCCATTGCCAGCCTTGGCTAACATCAGTGGCGAGTTGATATCTGAACAAGTCCTAAGGGCACCCACTCTACCTACCCAGATTAACGAGCGCAGTGATATATGTTCAAATAATTCCCCATACAGCAATTAATCAAATTGTTTTTGCTTGTTTCATTCTGTACCCAAAGTTAACCGACTTTTGGCCTTGTGTGTTGAAACCTATCCCCTTTCGCACAGATGCTGAGGACCCTAAATCACCCAGGGGTAAAGTGTGCCTTTGTCTCTCTTCGGATCGCACACCGACGCGCTTTCTACCTCCCGTGGTGTTTCGAACGTTTATGGTGCATTTTATACACAGCTCACTTGGGCTGTGTGTTTCACACGCGTCGGTGGAGGTCATAGATTTATTACGGGCTGTTGCACTGAGCTGTGCGATAAGCTTTCCCCTCAAAACGTCTTCTCTGTTAGTCCTTTTTTTTTTACTATAGCAGAGACGCACAGCAGACCGCAACAGAAATTTTTGGGTGTTTTTTTTTGCATCTTAAAGGCTTCATCCTGTCTTGCCGATGTTTTTTTGTTCATTTGGTCTGCCGTTGTTCTGCTGTTTGCGCAAAAGAATGAGCAGGGGCACGGGTCGAAGGATGTGACATTGCCACGAGACGATGCCATTGAGATAGCACGACTTTGAAGACACGCTCTGCTTATAAACTTACCACCCCGCCAGGAACTGACCAGAAGTGATTCGGATATGTTATGAGCAACATTAGGAATTTACGTGTGCGGCAAAATAAAATTCAAGCGTAGAAGAAAGCGTTATTTTCAACGGCTTAAACAATCCGTGACCGAAACTACTCATCGTGACTCTTTTTGTTTTTTTGCAACTCCTTGTCAGTCTACTGTTGGATGAAGGCCTCCTTATGCCATGTCAGCAATGGAGGTTATTAATCATTCATCGCACGGGTTAGTGAAGGGGGAATTGAATCTCGATACTTTTTTTTTCGGAAGTTTGCATTGGTATATTTGACCAATTCCATGAATGAGTTTTTAGTTTCATATGGGGAGTAAACCAAGAACTTGAAGAAACCCAGCAGGAATATAAAGGGGGTGATAGCACTACCAACTGGACACCGAACAGCCCTCTGGCTTCTTCTTAGATTATTTAATTGTTTTATTTTTTATTATTTTATTATTTCCCTTTCTACTCGACTTTACCGAAAGAACCAGGAAGATGAATCCCTGCAGTCACGAAAGCTTTACATCGAAATTTAGCCCTCTGGCTTTTTGAAGAGGAAGACCCAGGTTGGTTTAGATATGACCCAGTGTTGATGTTAGCCACGGACGTGAATCGAACTCGGGTTTGATTGGTTCATAGGTCAGTGCGCTAACCACTCCACCACCGCTCCATTCTAAAAACGCTGACGCACAAATGGCTCGGCTGTTATTCTACTGCAACTCACATCCTCCCGCAATGATTTAGCCGCATGCTTCGTTTTATTTCATGTGTGTTGTGGTGCAAGAGCTACGCGTGGTGGTGCAAGAAAATACGCTCTCGGTATCTGCGTTCCCACCGTGGGAGCCTTGCGTGTGCTCTTTGCACTCTGCACGACGCTGCAGGTTCGTTGAACGTGGCGCTGGGTTTGGTTCGAACCTGTTTCCCATCTGACGGAAGTGCACATGTCGGCCTTGTACCGAGCCGCACGATGCTCCTCATGCCACATGTTTCTCTCCTGGAGGAAGAGAAACATACGTCTTGGCGTGTTGAGCATTCGCAGTGCAGGAGTGGGAAAACATGGGCCATGTTTTGATTTTGAGGGTTTTTTTGCCAATGTATAGTCTCGGGTTTTTCGATGGCAATGGGATTTCGTGCTCCCGAAGGAAAAACAAACTTTTTTTTGTTTCTCAACATAAAGAAAATGTACGCACACTTTTACACATATCAATCAGGAAACATATGGAGACAGTTTTATTTGCAACGCGTTGAAGTGAGGAAATTTTTTCTAAGCAAAATGCTCCTTTTTTGATGTGGCGAGTAGTGACACCAAAAAGAGTTCCAAAATTCAAGATAAATTACGTAGGCGGTTTCCAATGTTTGCCTTCAGGCAAAGATATTTTCTTTGCAATAATATCCTGAACTAATTGCTTAATGTGGCTTTCCAAGTCGAATAATGTCAATTTGTTGCACACAGGGGCTTTTTGTGCAAAACAAAACAGCTATATTTTCTAAAGCCCTTTTAGTACAGGCCGGATTGACTGGCAGGTGTGCCAGTTCTCTGTTTCGCTGCAGAGTAAAACAAAGACAAACGTGGACACTACAAAGATAGAGGTCCCCTTATAGCTGCCCAGGCTGTTGGGGAAAGTGCAGGGCAGCACAATGGTGTGGCTAGCACTACGCCCGGGCCACCTTTGTCTAACCGCTGACAATGTTCACACACACACCAGGTACTCATTTAATGCTGAACCAACTTAGGGGAGGCCCCACGACAGGTTCAGACACCACTTT